ATTTAGGCCTATGGCCCATGTATGCAAATAATAATAAATCATTACATTTCTGTCATAGGTTTGAAAATAAAGTTTAAAAGACTTAAATTACAATTTCTCTTTAACTTTTAATACATGACAACAAAATAAAGCAACACTTTCAATATCAGTCGGGTTGTCTGATGCCATTATCTTGTGAAAATCATGCAAGGTGTTTGCTGCATGGTCCTGGAGAGACTGGGGGAGAAATGTTTGCCTGAATGTGTTGAGTTTTGGTCATTTTAGAAGAAAATGGAACTCGTCTTCAATTTCAGACAAACATAGATTGCAAATTCTATACTCTGGCGATTCCTCTGTGTCTACCGACTTCTATAGCTAAGGGGTGATCTGAACACCTTAAACGGGCATATGCTCTACGAAGTTTTGTGTTGACTGAAAGCTTTAAGTACATTTCTCTGCCAAAGTTAAATTTAAATTGTCGATAATGATCTGTTTTCTCCGTCGTACATATATCCGAGTACCAAATTCTTTTACCTTCATTTTGCGCACGGCTTTTGAACTCAAGTAGAAAATTTTCACTGTTTTCAATGCCTTGATTTTCCCAGACTGTACCAAAACCTAAATTGCCTAGTAGGAGCATTATTTCAATAGCCCATGTGCGTTTGCCTTGATTGTGCATATTTAAAAGCAATTTAATAAGCTTTATTTGGCAAAATTTGACACAAATTCTCCTCATAAAAGTAGAACATAGTATTTTGCATAACAATAGAGTATATTGATTATTTCTATTGTGTTCATTGTTATATGCTATATCCAAAATTAAACAGTTGGTGGAAATCCCTACTCTATAATGCTGAAGGTTGAACCCTGTTTTATCAGTATTTTTTTTAAAAAAGTGGCTTTCATTGTCACTCATTATTTTTTAATTATTTATAGATACACCTCCATCTGTAAGAGATGCCAGGGAAAACCTTCAGCAGCAACTTCAGCAACAACTACAGCAGCCACAGCTCCGCCCACAGACCACAATTACAGCCCAGATTACGCAACAACCTCCACAACAACCTCAGGCGACTGCAACACAACAAACAATTATCGCCACAACTGCTGCCGCTACTACTGCAGTTGCTGCTGCATCTTCAACAGCCACTCCAACAAGCACTGCTGCTGGGCAGCCTGCAGCGAAAAAAGGTCTTTCTCTTACGGTAAGTATATGAGATACAAAACAAGGTACATTGTAACTTGAAAGCTACCTCACATTTCTGTACAACTTTACACACACCTTATTCATCATGTATTACAGTACCAAACATGTTTTTTTGCCATAATTTATTGGTCTTTATTTTTACGATTCGTGTCCAGTTCAGTAATAAAATTGCTCCAATGTCTCAAGCATTTCAGAACTAGAGCTTGTTACTGTAAAATGACTAAGTTTCACTGGGTTTAAGTTTTGCTGATTTACCATTTCAGGCATATTCAGTGGGTTTTAAATTCACGGTTGTATCATTTAGATAAAGTGTTCTATGCTAAATTTTACATATTCACTGGGTTTTAATTTAGCGCATTTTCCAGTCAGCGAAATAAGCAAAATTAAAACCCAGTGAATAATTAACCTTTTTACAGTATACAAATAAGATTTTCCAGGTCTTTATCTGCATGTAGATATGTCAAGCATGTTAAGGCATTGCACAGACATTACAATTATCATACAGTGGTACATTGTCTTTGTCATTCATTTACATATCACTTCATCCCTGTTTTGCTTGTACATATCCAATTATATTCAATGATTTCCGACCTACAGAGAGAGCAGATGTTAGCAGCACAAGAGATGTTCCGAGAATCCAACAAAGTTACAAGACCAGAAAAGGCCTTAATCCTTGGTTTCATGGCAGGATCAAGAGGTGTGTATTACACTGCAATATGAGGTTATTACGAGAATACCGAAATATATGCTTGAAGACAGTACAGCGGGAGTATCAACCAACCCTGCAACGGAGGTCGATATGTTCACAAACTTGACAGGGAAATAATGAGTTATATTGTTATTCCACAAGTTCACATGGATTTGACTTAGAGAATTTCACTTATCAATGAAAAGGGCAAATTAAAAACCAACAAACAATTAATGCAATTCAGCATTTACAGTACAACAGTAAACAGCACAGACACATAATAGTGCCAGAAGTGACCTTTCCTTTGAAATTATAATGTGCCATGCGACACTTGTATGAATGATTTTATGTACTCTATTTGGTCATTATAACAACTACTGTTATTGTTATATGTAACAGCCGTTTTCATTCATCTTAGTTAATATAGTTTACATTATTATTGCAGAAAACCCGTGTCCACAACAAGGAGATGTGGTGACAATTAAACTCAGTGAAAACATGGAGCAAACTGATGGAGTTCCTTTGATGGTTGACACATTCTTTGAAATGAATTACAAGACAGGACAATGGAAGCGATATAAGACACAAAGAGCATTGTAATTACAAGAACTATTATTAGAAAAGTAGGAACAATAAAAGTTGGTATGAGACAAAGCATGGTAATAACAATGATTTACGATGACTGTCATTAGAGAAGCAAAAACACTCAAAGCGACATAAAACTGAAAGAGTATTGTGATTTACAATATTAGAGGACAATAGAGGTGGTATAAGACAATGAGCATTGTTATTATAATGATTTCTGATGACTATTATTAGAGAAGCAAGAACAATAGAGTCAGCATGAGACACAAAGAGGATTATGTAAAATATAAATGAATTTATCTGTTCATGTTATGGTATTCATTAGTGCTAACTGTAAAAATTCCAAAATGTCTGATCCTCTGAAACCTTGACAAGACTGTGCTTGCTGAAGAAGAAATGCAGGACTCAGATTGATGTAATCTGTTTTCCAAGCATATATGGATCACTTGGTACATTGAAAGCTGTTTATGTGCATTGTACATATTAAACATATAATAACCTTTCCTTAAAATATTAGGAAAGGGATCTGTAATGTAAACATTGTTATCATATCTTGATTTGGATATTGGTAGAATAAATTACAATAAAGTTTACCATCTAGTTTGTTTGTGACCCGTATTTGCAGCGTTAGTCATTTATGCCTACTGCCACAGATTTACCAGTTTTACCAGATGAATAAACAAGTAGGTCAAACTGAAACATAAGTTTCCACTCTTAGTGAGCCAGAGGCTTGACCAAAACACAGTGACTTAGGGTGCTGAGCATGCAACAACTAATGGTGTTACCTTAAGCGTTGGTGCATAAGTTTCCAGGAAACCTGAAGATATAATTGTCCTTGGGTACTTTGATATGCTTATCTTTGGTATCTGCATAGTTTGCCTTCCTTCACCAGCTTCATCTGTACTTTGGTGTTATAACGATTCGTTGTGAAGCAATTCAAAGACAACATGCAGTTGTAAGTTGCTTCTTCCAGCCTTTGACAATCGTATGTCAGTGCCAGCCCTCCACATAATTATTTGTGCGAATACTATGCATTTAAATACACCAGGTGGATGGTGGACAAGCAAATCCCTCAATCCATGTTGTGTGAATGTAATCAATGAGTGGTTGTGTTGATCTTCAGGTTATGAATTTGAACGTATGCTTTGAAGCAGGAACGCCAGAGCTATGTGCTGATGATTGTAGTTGTGTATGGCACCCATTTCCATGTTCTGTGGTTGCAATCTAAGGGAGTTGACTTTCCTCCATATGTATAGTGATCAGTGAAAACAGCATCCTTGAATGCTGGTACCAAAAAAAGTTACTGCTAACCACAAGCCAGATTCAAATTTCTTTACATTTTGACCTTTGAACAATGTCTTCAGCTTTCAAAATTTCCACAGTCGTGGGTGGATCTTCTCGTTATCAGAGTATAAACATGTTTTCCGTTGTCACCGTCAATTTTACCAAATCCCGTGGATTGAAAAAGTTGGGTTAATGATGATTTACAATTTTGAAAGTATCATTGATATACTAAAATCTGGTTTTGTTGAGCAATTGGCAGGTCATGTTGAAGAAAGTCTGGTAGGATAACACTGGTATTTAAGGCAAGGTATGATGTGCTTGGTTTTTTAATCTGACATTTTGGCATAAATCTGTTAGCAGCATGGATGAAGTTAGATATTACTGGATAGCAATGATGTAGATGGTCATTGTCAATTTGTTGTGTGACATTGGCATTGGTCATTGTTATTGGCTGTCTGCTTTATGGATGTGATTTGTTTCAACTTTGTTGCTATTCCTGGCAGACAGGACAGTTTTGATCATGTGGTCCAGCTTTGAAGTGATTTCCTTTCTGGATCACAGGTAGATGGCTGTTCTTGCACTACCTTGCCAATTGTTTTTTTTAGCCCTGGTTTTCAAACATCATTGCATTTCCATGGATTGATGCACTAGGAATTACTTTGTATTTTACTACAAGTTCTTCATATTGTGCTATGAATTAAACAAAATCATAATCAGATGGCAGTCAGCACAAGACCACACACAATCAATTGTATTTAACTAATGAGCATTCAAGCTGCACGTATGATGTTGCCATCTACTGCAATTGTTGCATTCAAGTACCTTGCTGATTTGTAATTGGATACTATAAATAAATGTGCTCCTTACATACTAGGTACTAGTAAATGAATAAGCTGTACTTGTAAACTACGGAAGTATTTCTTGCAAAGACGACGATTATTTTGTTTTTCACCGTCTAAAGCAGGCCCATGCAGGAGGTAAATACAATTACAATGCTAATGTCTGCAATAGGACCCCAGGAATAAACTTACAGGGTTGCTGCGCCCACTGGAGTCCTCCTTTTGCAACAATCACTCCCATACACCGCCATAGGCCTCGAATTGGCGGATCCATTACCCCGACCAAGGCCCAAACCCTCGCCCACCGGGACTTTCCCGCCACTTCCAACCCGAGCATATGGAAAGTCACCCCAGGAGTCATCCTCACTTCCGAATTCATGCAAAGTTCACTCTGAGCTGAACATAAAATTGCATACTGTTATCTGATGGAATAAGAATCCTGGCAAAGATGTGTACATTGTGTATTAAACTATCAAATAAATGATCATATTCACAATCATGTTAATAGTTCTCATCTTATTTCATCACACAACGAATGACACCAACAGGAGTTGTATACACAGCAATCATAAGTAGCTTGTTTGAGTTGATCACACTTCACTTGAGTGCAAAAAACAGCAGAGAATGCTCGCAATAGGCGGTAGGATGTTCTCAATATAATAATAATAATAATAATAATACGCTATTTATAAAGCGCCAGTATCCAGAACAAGGTACTGTTCAATGGCGCTGTATATAGAGATGAATAGTTGTTAATGCTTTCCTAAATGAGTCTTAAATTGAGTCCTGAAACTGTTCAATGTTGGTGACTTGCGTAGTTTAAGTGGTAATGTGTTCCAAAACGTGGTGCAGCACTTGAGAATGAACGTTTGCCGAATGAATCTGATTGGTATCTTTGTTCATGCAAGAGTTACTTATTTGTTGAATGAAGTTTGCGAGGTGAAGATCTAAAGTGAATTATGTCTGATATGTAACAAGGTGACATGTTATTCAGTGCTTTGTAGCACCTTGTATTCAATTCTGAGTTTTACCAGTAGCCAATGCAAATTTTGTAGAATCGGTGTAATGTGTTCACGTTTCTTTGTGTGTGTAACAATTCTTGCTGCTGTGTTCTGGGCATGTTTTAGTGGCTTTGTAGTGTTCTCTGGTATTCCAAATAGAAGTGAGTTGCCGTAGTCAAGTTTTGAAGATATATGCATGAATAATTATTGTACATGTATTTTTGGAGAGGAAGCGTTGTATGTGACCAATTTTACGTAGGTGAAAGTATATAGACCGACATGTTGCAGATGTGTCCTTCTTGAAGCTGTGATGATGATCAAAGATGACCCTGATGTTTCTTGCCATCTGGAACGCTGGAACCAATGAGAATATTCTCTATTGGGCATGGAATGTGGTTAAACGGTGATCTAATTAGAAGAGCCTCAGTTTTATCATCATTCAACTTTAATTTCTTGCATGACATCCATGATTTAATGTCACGAGCTGTACTTTTAATTATGCTGACTGAAGACAGTGCATCTCAGGGTATGAGAAAGCGAGGTAGAGTTGGTTGTCATCAGCATACTGATGGAAATTAACACTACATTTATGACAACGAATAAGTTGACCTAGTGGTGATATATAAATGGAGAATAGCGGAGGTCCTAGAACAGACCCTCGGGGAACCCCGGTTTTAAGTACATGAGAAGCGGAGCGACTATCATTGATGGAAACACGCTGATGACGATCCTACAGATAAGAAGTGAACCAGAGAAGTGAAGTATCAGTAATGCCAAGGTTGAACAATCTTGTTAGAAGTATATCATGGTCAATTGTATCGAAGGCATGCGGATAAATCCAGAAGGATAAGAAGTACACATGCAAATGTCATTATGGACCTTTAAAAGTGCTGTTTCAGTGCTATGAAATCTCTTATATGCAGATTGTGAAGGTTCAAGTAATGAATGTTCAGAAAGATATGAATTCAGTTGTAGCGCTACGACTTTCTCCAGGATCTTGGAAGTAAATAATAATAATAATAATAATCTTTATTGAAACCCTATCCCAGAGTGGGATCTTAGTTGAAAATACAATAAAGTAATACAAAAAGATAGCAAACAAAAAACACAAGACATTCACAGAAATTTGAATAAAGAAAAGAAGAGGAAAGAAAAAAAATATTTGGTGGTTGGTTGAGGCATCTGGCATTTTAGGATTTTAATTGTCGTAAATTGAAACAAGTGTGGATGAATTTTCCTAGCTCAATGATTGTTTTGTCATTTTTACTTTTTTAGTATATATTAGTATAAGTTGTTCGTTATCCGTCCCCAAGTTGCTTTTATTGTATTTAATATTCTTGATCATGATATGTGATGGTAGCTGTTTCTGACTTGAGTTCCCAGATAGGTTTGAACAGATGCGAATTGTTGATCATGAACATGGTCCTTGATAAGGTTGGTGTATTAAGACTGTTTACGTATTTACTGATTTACGTATGAGCTGGCTGACTTTCTTGCATTCATGTTTGAAAATTTGTCTGTGAATTTCTAGTGCAGTAGACCTCCATTTTTTTCAGCTGATCAAATCGCCAAATTGATGTCAGTTGTGTACCATTTACTATCTGGGCGTAGAGTGATGACCCGCTTTTTAACAGGAGCGTGCTTATCAAGAATGTCCGAGAGAGTTGTATTGAATTGTAAGATGGCAGTCTGTGGAACGGATGAAGGCAGGATAATCTCAGGAGATACTTCTAGGCCACTCTGGAAATCATCAAGTGAAATTGATTTAATACTTTGATAAGTTATTCGCTTTTTGGAGAGTGGTGGCTTACAATACACAAGTGTGGTATTAACAGGATTATGATCAGACAGTTGGAGTTGGTCGACAGTAACACCTTTGATTGTATCTGCAGAGTTGGAGATGATTAGATCTAGTATATGACCTTTTATATGAGTTGCCTCATTTACCCACTGCTTGAGGTTGCAACCTTCAATGATGTCAGAGAATTTTTTGGCACTGGAATAACAGGGATCATTATGATGTAAATTAAAATCCCTGACAAAATACAGGTAACCAGTACATGCTGCATATTTCTCCAACAGAGAGCTGAACTCTGTTGGAAACTGGGTAGT